CAGTCATTTATTGTGCTGGTTATTAGCATTATGCCACCAGCGGCTTTAGATAGTTTGAAAACTGGGTTTGTGCTTGGAGAAAAGACAGAATAATCTTCCCATGGAGCTTTTGAAAAGATGAATCCGTGAGACGGCTTCAATCAATGATTAATTTCATCCATCAAAAAGAGGCAATTTCTATGCAAACAGCATGATTTGCGGCTCTAATTATCAGTAGTAATTTTTTATTAGGTTTTGTCTTGCGATTGAAGTGTGTGTGTGTGTGTGTGTGTGTGTGTAGGGATTCACATTGTATGTTCCTTTGTTCATAATGCACTCATGAGAAGCCTTAGTGCAGTGATTAACAAAACCTTCAGTGATCCAGCAACAGAAACCTTTTGAATGTTGGGATATTTGGATTGCTTTCCCAATAGTGAGGGCTGAGGTTATCTGAATATCTTGACTAGGTGAAATAGTGTTGCATAAAGAGGTTTATCTTCAGGAGGCGATTAATCACCGCTGAACATTAATGACTATGATCGTTTTTGCAGGGCGAGCAACTGAATGGCTGGAGACCATTAAATGCGCTGAGCTGATGTATGTGTATGTGTGTGAGGGTATAATTATACAGCTCAGCTGGGGTAAGGAATCATTGAGTGATTGAATGTTTGCAGTGGAAGGTACTTATCTAAATTTCACTTTCAAAACTATCCATTTTTTATTTTGCCTGAAGCTTCCCATCTGCCAATTATTCAAGCTGATGGGACTCATAGTTGCCATTTTTATAATTCAGTTCACACTATAAATTCATATTTTAAATGGTATTACTGAATGTCAGTTAACTGAGATTTAATTAGTGTAAATTGTTATTAATCAAATGCTGGTAACACTTTTTTTTACAGTAGGGTTAAATTTGTTATCATTAGTTAATGCATTAGGTATTAGGAAACTAACAAAGAAAAATACGACTTTTTGGGGACTTTTTTCTTGGAATTATGAGTTTATGTCTCGTACTGAGTAAAAAACAAGGTAATTGCGCACAATTCTGACTTTCTCACAACTGATAGATTATATCTCAATTCAGAATTTTCTTCTCATAATTGTGAGTATATATCTTGCAATTCTGAGTTTGTCTTGTAATTTTGAAAAAAGTAAATAAAAAAATATACTAATTAACATTAATATACATAAAAATTAACATTAACATAGATTAATAAATAAAAGTATTATTCATTGTTAGTTCATGATAATGACTAATATTAAAGGGGTCATATGATGTTGCTAAAAAGAACATTATTTTGTGTATTTGGTGTAATGAAATGTGTTTATGTGGTTTAAGGTTAAAAAAACACATTATTTTCCACATACTGTACATAATTTTTTTCTCCTCTACGCCCTGCCTTTCTGAAATGTGTCTATTTTTACAAAGCTCATCGGTCTGAAAAGC